GGGCCTGCCGGGGTTTCTGATCGGCCAGTGGATTGATCGCGATTTCCCTCGGGGTCCCCTGCGCGACGGGTTCTGCCATTCCGGCTGTAAACACGTGGGAAGGGGTGCCTGAGAAGGGCGTGCGGTGAGAGAGGCCCGGCTCTGGAGCCAGAGGTGTGGGTTCGAATCCCGGGGCCCCCGTGTATCGTCGTGCGATTGTCTTCAAGTTGGTTAACTTCTCGGAGCCTCACGTTTCGCGTCGCCACTCGAGCATCGCTGTGAGCCCAGCGCCTACCCTGTGTTGACCGCTCCATCACCTGCGGCTGCTGCAGCGGCGGAGGGGGTTCTCCGGGACCACGCAGCCACCACGGGCAGAGCTGGCGGCCCCGAGCCCCGCCTTCCTCCTGTCGCCCAGGGTAGGAGGCGTGGCAGGTGCTGGGGTTTGGCAGACCCCTCCGTGAATTCCGGGTTCCTCCAAACCAGCGGTCCTCGGATCCCCTTCCCCTCCTAAAAATTATTGAGGACCTCAAAGACCGTTTTTATACAGGTTAAATCTATTGATACTGACTGTATTTAAAATTAAAACAAAGTTTTAAAATACTTTTTAACTAGAAAATAACCATAATAAACCCATTACATGTTAACGCAAATAACGTTTTTTTCCCCCTGAGGAACTGTTTTCCTCAACAAACAAAATGGAATAGTGCCGATGTTTTGTGTTTTTGCAGACCTCTTGACCATCAGGCTTAATGGAATTCTCATGCCTGTGTTCTTATACCTGCTTCTGCGTTCAGTCTGACATGTCAGGTAGCCTCCCCAAAACTCCACTTTGTGGAAGAATGAAAGTGCAAAAGGCAAATAAAATTTCAATATCATGCAATTTTTCACTGCACAGACCCTGAAAGGATCATGGAAGATTCTAAGATCCCGAAGGCCCCCAGAGCTAACTGACCTACTGCACTTTGAGAACTGCTCCAAACAAATACCTTTTTCTTTGATCCCCATAAGAACTTTGCTTTGCCTTACTCTGCCTTCTGTCATAGCCTTTTGTGTGCATCCCCACCCTCTCCTAGCCAAGGCCCTTTCTTGCACGAGGCAAACGGTCCCCCTGCAGCATTGTCCAGTTAGATTGGCCTGACAGCTGGTCCGGGTGGCTATCAGGAAACTCATAGAATTAATGCAGCTCTGGGTTAAGAGCACAGGGTGGCGCTTAACTCTTTCACAGTTTGAGACCATAGTCTTTTAAATAAATGAGACAGTTGCAACTTGATCTTTGCAGATGATATGTTTTTCTTTTTTTAAAATATGTTTGTTTTTGTTTCTTTATTTCAGGGAAGGAGAAAGAGAGAAACATCAGTGATGAGAGAGAATCATGATGGGCTCCCTCCCGCCTGCCCCCCACTGGGGACCGAGCCCTTAACCCAGGCATGTGCCCTGACCTGGTTCATAGGTCGATGCTCAACTACTGAGCCACTCCAGCCAGGCTAGATTTTTGTTTTTTAAATTAAAAATTGCTTTTAAAAAAATGATAAAAGCAATATTGGGTAGAAGAAAAATCAAGCAGTTGTAGGAAAGTAAAAACATAGTAAAGGCATTCCAAATCCCAGCACCTAGTTATAGTCATTATCAGTATGTGGTAACCATTCTTTCGGATATTGCATGAAGTATGCATTCAGAATTCTTAATTTTTAAAAGTTATGTTTAGCTTACAGAACAAAACGCAAAACTATTTTCATCATACTTTTTAGTGTAGATATGTGACTTTTTATGAAATTGTAATTATTCAGACTTTAGTAAATGTTTGCTTGACTGTTATGGACCATGGTAGACACTGTGCTTACTGTGGGTGATAATAAAGACTTCTCATATAAAGACCTTACTTAGGCCCTGGCCAGGTGGCTTAGCTCATTAGAGCATCCTCACAATATGCCAAGGTTGTGGGTTCGATCCCTGGTCAGGGCACATACAAGAATCAATGAATGCATGAATAAGTGGAATAATAGATTGATGTTTCTCTTTCTTTCCCTCTCTCCCCTCTCCCCTCCTCCCTGTCTAAAATCAATAAGTAAGTTAAAAAATAACCTTTGTGGGAAAAAAGACCTTATTTGTGAACTTTAGATCAAGTAAAAGTGATCAGACACTTATCTACATGAATAATGACAGATAGAAAATCTTGTCTTGAAGAGATACAGTTAGTGTTTTAAAGAAGAACATATAACTTATAAAGAATTATATGAGTTCAGCCCTGACCAGTTTGGCTCAGTGGATAGACAGTCGGCCTGCAGACTGAAGGGTCCCAGGTTCGATTCCAGTCAAGGGCATGTACCTTGGTTTCGGGCACATCCCCAGTAGGGGGTGTGCAGGAGGCAGCTGATCGATGTTTCTAACTCTCTATCCCTCTCCCGTCCTCTCTGCAAAAAATCAATAAAAATATATATTTTTTAAAAAGTTAAATGAGTTCAAAAAAGGGAGATATAATTTCCTACTTTGGGAGACAGGAAGTATGGAAATATGGTTTGACATGAGCCTTGGAAGAGTTTAGCAGTCACAGATGGAGCTGGGA